ATAATAACTTTTTCTCTTTTTTCTTAAAGGAATTTTGCTATGGAGAAGAAAGTGAATAACGAAGGTAGAATTTTAGAAAGTGCTTATAATATTTTGGAACAAATCAATTCATTATTAGTGTCAGTAGCAAATCCTTCAGATGAAACTTCCTTATCAATAAGATTGTCTTTAATTAAGGTAAGTTCATGCATTGCTCAAACAATTAAAACTTTACACGAATAGATAGATATTTATCATACATTAATATTTACGTCACGAAATTGACTTTATGTATTTTGAACACCTTGTCTAATTAGTTTAGTTTATAAGGTCACTGTATAATTTTGATATATAAAACGAATTAGTGGTTTTTAGTATCGCTGAATTAAAATTTTTATCTGAATTTTCTTGAGGCAATGACTGCTATAACGTTATTAAATAAACTGAATCGGGACCTAATAATATCTTCCATGTCATGACTGCACAAACTGAAGTGTGCCAAGACATAAATAGCTATGAACTCTTACTTTTCGCTTCTTTTCTTATTAAATACAAACTAACGTTTCTTTACGTTAATATAAAGTAATACAAATTTTTCAGGCCAGACAAGAAGAACTTTCTTCTCGAAAAAGAGCATTACAGAATTTAATAAACCAAAATGGTATTCTTCCAGGAGAAGATGAATGTAACTCGTTACTTGCTGATATGGACAAGGTATTAATGAGAATTTATTTCAAACAAATCGAAATCATGTATAGCTAAATTATAGAACGATTAAAATTTAATAAAATGTTTTAAATTATTTTTCTAGGCTAATACGAGTCTTTCCAGTCATCGGGAATATGTTGAAAATAAACTTGCGTCTCTTAAAAAATATATTTGTACTTTAGATGTTGTTATGGCGTGGGTCATGGAAACTCGAACGAGAATAAATATATCTCGAGAATTACACCAACATGAGCGGAACGAAGTTATTAACAATGTAATGGTAAGTGTGGAAATTTATCGCAATAAAGGATCGTGTAAAAAATTCCGTTCCAATATTTTGTACGACAGATGAAAGTTGAAGATCGAGAAATGGAGGTGAAGGATGTATTAGAGAATTACACCAATTTGGAGAAAGAATGCGAGTCTGCAAAACAACCTATTTCTGTCGAACTACAAGTAAGTAGGATAAAAATTCATTTTCATTTACACGTGACAATATAAATTTTCAATTTAACACAGTTTGATAAAATAAAAGAATTTTATTTTCTGTGAAAAATAAATTGCAACGACTTTTTATCGTAATATTTTTTTCGCAATTTTAAAGTTCTTACTATTCGTTTTGTAATCTCTAAATGAAAGATTTAATTTTCAAAAATTCAAATATTCCGTTACGGCATGGCTACCAACTTCATAAAAAGTACATATAAAAATCTGTTTCAAAAGGTGGCGCTCTGACAGTTTAGTCTTATTCGAACTAACGAACTGTGCGTGCGGGAGTTTGTTAACAATTTTTATTTTTAGTTTAGTGTTTAGTGTTGTGTATGTTTTGTGATTGTTTTACCAGGAAAAGTTGAAAAAGTTACGAGAAGATTGGCAATTTGTGAAAAGTAATGGAGAATCACACGGTCTCAATGTTAAATCTGCTGCAACTGTTGGACCGACGACGCAAGGAATCGGTAAGTCCTTTCTTTCTTATACGAACAGTCGAAATACGAAAATATCTTCACAAATACGCACATTCTCAATTATTTATACGTTAAACACAGTTTTCAATGGTTAATATTAGTTAACATTAAAGATACATTTCTTTAAGATCCTTTTCTTTTGTCTTACGTAACACATTTCGTTACGCGGGAAATAAGTTTAATTTGAAAATTCCTGTAGTTGCGTCTATTGTCGCGAGATGGCGAGTCTTCCATTACTGACGGAAACGTTTTTCGTAACTTTCAAATTTTTCATTTGAAAACATCGTGAAATTAATTTTCACCGACCATTTAATCGAAACTATTTTCTTATTTCGACAAAAATATCCAAAAACTTTTACAGGTAATTTCGTTAAGAACTCCCAACATTG